AGAAACATCAGGAGAATTTCACTGGCTCCCACCAACCTTGTTTCTGCTCTTGTCAAACACATCTGATATCACCTCATCACCTTGAAGAGCAGGCATGCTCTGGACCAAGACTTTGTCTCTGCAATTGCACAGGTCTGCAGGGACTCCTTTTTGGTACTGCATATACACAACGTTACCAGATCAGCCAGAAAATCCACAAATCCACTCATTCCTTTTGATCACAGTTGCCTCTGCATGCCACAACAATGTGCTTGCACCTTGAAGCCGAAGTCGAGCATATGTGCGCAATGAATATAGATCAAGATCGTTAGATCAGCTGCGAGAACGGTAGCCAGGGACCAGTGTAGGTGCAACATGTCAACGAATGTCATGCATCCCGCAGATTATGTGGATGATGATTGCAGGCAACGAACTGCACAACATTGATTCCCTTGGGATTGATGGCATCTTAGGAGTTCCTATGCTTGGCATTTGCAAACAATGGGTTGAGGCAGCTTGTTGACACCAAAATTTTGAATTTGTGGGTTCTGATGCATAACAACAAGGTGGTTGGATTGTGGCAACACAATAGTTTCTGATGGAACAAATCAGGGACAATGCTTTGCTCCGCTGAACTAGGGAGCTGATGGCGGCCTCCTCGCCTGGATGTGTCAGATTTCTTAAGGTCAGATTTCTTAAGATCAAGGTTCCTGCCAGCATTCCCCTTCCTTCCCCAATCTGCTCCCTTGCATGCACTGGGAAACCCTCCCGTCCTGGCAGATTGAGCCATGGTCGCTGAAAACGGCGGACAGATAGCCAACCAGCCATCGTCCGTTCAGGCACAGGCCAGCGGCAAACCCACGGTGGAGGGCACTCGCCGCGCGGGTCGCAGGTAATGCCGGCGCTCAAGGGGCCGTTTCAGCGACCATGGCTCAATCTGCCAGGAGTCCCTGGAAGGGCTGCGCCTTGCTCACGATTAGCGCCCGCCGGATCTGGCGCTCCTGGCGCCTGGCCCTAGCCGCCTGCCTCCCCTTCGTCTTCCAGCGCTGGCGGTGCTCCTGGCGGCGGCGTTTGGTGGCTGGCAGCGCCTGTTGCTGCTTGCCCTGCGGCGAGTGAGCGTGGAAGGCGGGGGCCGTTGCTGTCGATAGCGCCAGGGCGGGAGCCACGGGTTACCACGTGCGGGATTCCCGCACGCCCTTGCGGCTAAAGTACTAGAACCTGCGGGATTCCCGACGGGATTCCCGCGCGGGCCAAGGCAGCCAACTTCGATGCGCACAATGCATCACAATGCAAATATGCACGAGACACATGTGGCCTGTTTCATGGGAGCGGGGGCGTCAGCCAATCAGGGCGCCATATGATAGTAGTGTTTGGACGGAGCGGGAGGGTCAGCCAATCAGCGGAGAGTATACGCCTGCGCCTGCGCCTGGGCCTGGGCCTGCGCCTGCGCCTGCGCCTGTTTCACCTCCTCTCACGCTTGGGGCAGCGCCAAGTACTCGCATTCCGAGTCGCTTCCGTCATTGCGATCCAATTGTCCGGCGAGCCAAGCTTGGCTTCGCAGCAGTTGGGAGGGCAAATAGTGGCCCAGATCGTCCGTCTCGCCTGCTTCTTCGCGCTGCAACACTTGGTCCCATTCGCGCTGCGACCAGCTGACCCAATCACCACCCATGTTGCTGACTACGTTGTTTGTTGTGTGCAGGTCTACGGCGCGAACAGGGCAACCTTGATCACAGGTCGCGGTGTGTCATCGGCGCTAAAAAATGTTTTGGCGGGAGACGACGCTGGCGGACGCTGCGACGATGGCGTCGTGGCCCCCCCCATTCCGCAGTCTGACCCGCGGTCGTGTGGACCACAAGCGTTGGAAAAGGGCGGATGATGCAGCGGGCAGGCCGGCGGGGGGGGGGAAGGGGCGCCCGGAAAGGGCGGATGATGTAGCGGTTGGGCGGGGGGCGCAGGGAGGGCGGATGATGTAGCGGACATGGCTGATTCCCGCTCCTCTGAAGTATTGCGCTAATGTACTAACCCCAAATTTACCGTGCGGACAGCCGTTGTAGAGGGGGAAATGTAACGGGCTTGCAGTGAAGAGCTAATGTACTAGCGGGCGGGGGGGAGGGCGAGTTGCGCTGAAGGTTTCCCCGCACCGGGCGGCTCAGGCGCGGACGGTTTCCCAGTGATTATGTAAGGGTTGGGAAAAGAGTGCTGCCGGTGGCGCTGATGGTTTCCAAGTGATTATGTAAGGGTTGGGAAGACAGTGCCGCGTTTGGCGACATGGTGCTGCGGGGGGGCGGGGGGCTAGGCAGCGGGGGCCTGTGCCCACTGGCGACAGGGGCACAGGCGAAATGGTGGCAAATTACAGTACTGCGCTAATCTACGTGCCGCCCGCGCAACGACAAGTTGCTGCCGCGCAGCGGCACACACATCAGCACGGTGGCCCGACACTCATCTTCCCGCGGCTGGGCCCTTGGCTCAAGCACCTCCCTGTTGCCCCCTCTGCAGAGAAGTGTGTCCATGGCATCCAAGCCACTGCTCTCTTCCCCCTCTGCAGAGAAGTGTGTCCATGGCATCCAAGCCACTGCTCTCTTCCCCACACTTAAACAGGCTGCGCCCCCTCCGTACGAAAAACCCACCGCCCTCGGCGTTCCCCCCGCGCCTACACAGCGACACAAGCGAGGACATCGAGGTGGTGACGCGCCGCACAGCGCCTCGTGACTCGCTTTAGCAGGCTGCCGACGCGTCGCGAGTTTGCACGCGGCCAACGAGGTGAGGAGCGCCTTGTCCATCAGGGGTGCGGCCCGACGTCACACAAGTGCGGACTCTGTGCCGCCCTTGGGCTGACGCAAAGCCTCCACTCCACACTCTTGGAGTACACGCGCAGAAACGCTCACCCAGAGCGGTCGCTTAGCTCAGCGCAACGGGTGGCAGGGCGGGCGCGCCCTGCCAGCCGCGGCTCCTGCCGATCACGAGCGCTGTCGGTGTTGTGCTCGCAGTGCCGCGTGGGCACTTCCTTGACATGCCTTGATGTTGCAACGCATTGCTAGGCCAACCTGCTTGTAGCTGTCTTTAGGAGTGCAGAGATTCAGGCATGTTTTTCTGGAAGACTCTCCACACAATTGGTGATGTGCAACAAGGCTAGGGCTGGCTTTGTTACCGGATCGGGGTTCCAGCCCATAGTACCTACCCCCACACTATCATTAGTTTCGCCCAGCCTAATCCAGGCTTTCAGTTTGCGATGGTTGCCTGAATCACTTTGTTGCTGGAAACGAGCATTCCCCTAGGGAATCCCCAATTGTCTAGCCACCACAGATCATGAATCACCATTGTTACAAGATCTCGTTACCATCGTAAATGGAATCAAAAGACCACCCATTCACCTTCTTGACAACACTATCTGTTTACTCACTGCAGATCCCTTCTGAGTCAGTACCCTGCGCATGGTGCTTTCTGTCTTGAGGGTGCTCGTGTGAAGGTATGGCACTCAATCTGACCCTGTTGTACTGTGGTGCACACCATGGCATTCAAACTCACGAGGAAGTTGGTTGGTGGAATAGCAGTTCGACTTCAATGGTCGTAGTGTTAGGGGGTGGCCACATGTATGAAATGATGAATGTTAGACAACTTGCGGCTTTTGTGCAGCCTGTCATGAAACCCTCCGCCAAGTGCCGATGTTGATGGATTGGCTAGTACTCCATAGAACAAAGAGTCTAATTTGTGTATTGCAATTCCAGCTTCTGTTCCTGCACCCTTTATTTTCAAATGGCAGTTGTTTCACAAACATTTTGCTGAAGCGCGTCAAAAACACGTATGACACATCACTTCAACGGGCAATGGAATAGCTGCACATTCATGGAATAGCTGCATGTGTAAGAAAGTTCCTGCAAAGCACAGATCTCCAATCAGTGACCTTTTTGTGAGGCAAACCCCAACTCAAAACGGCATCAATCTTGCCACACATGATGACGGAGGGTATGGATGTTAATTGGAGATCCCAAATGTTCTATCAGGGTGTTCTTGCAAGGGCATTGTCAAGAATCTCTTTTTGACAATGTTTTTCAAAGTAGTGTGATCAACACTCAAGCTGGTCTTTGTGGCATGTGCAGACGAAACTGGTTCAAGAGATCTTTTGGTTGCTATGCAGGAAGGTGATAACCATATTTTTCGCACCGTTCACGGTGATCTCAACACCTAAGAACACCATGGTATCGAAATGGATGTGCGTGACGGCGATCGTTCTCGCGACTCTCGGAATCTCGGCCTGTGTGCCCGCCGAAGAAGCCCCAGATGTGGCGAGCGATCGTGCGCCGCTGTGTGGGGGAACGAAAAACTGTGAAGACAGCGAGATTGGTCACACGGCTCAGCAAGCCTACGTTTATGGCTACCCGCTTATGCTGATGGAATACACCAAGCGAGCGCTGCTGCAGCAGCCCGGCGGCCAAGTCAATCGCTTCCTTCACCAGCACCGCCGTCCCGACCCCAGCGACACCGCGGTGGTGCGGCCGAACCAAGACACGCTCTACTCGGTTGCCTTTTTGGACCTGAGCGATGGTCCGCAGATCCTCGACGTCCCCGAGGTGCGAGACCGCTACTTCTTATTGCAGCTACTGGACGGCTGGTCTACCTCGATCGCCGGTAGTCCTGGCACCGCCAATACCGGCACGGAGGCGCAGAGCTTCGCCATCGTAGGACCCGGGTACGAAGGCAGCGTCGACGGCGTGAGCGGCACCTATCACCTCGATACCAACCTGGTATGGATTCTCGGCCGGACGCGCATCAAACAGGGAGAGCGCGACCGTGTCGAGGTGATTCGCACGCAGCGGGGCTATTGCCTGCGCTCGCTGGCCGATTTTCAGAACGGTGATCGCAGCAACTGCGAGCGCAGCGTTTCGCTCAGTGACGTGGGCGAGGGACTGCTGGGAATGTTGCTGCCGGAGACTCCGCCGCCGCCGGAGATTGTCGGGAACATGGCAATGGGCCGCTTCCTGATGGAGCTGGCGACGTTGATGGCGGACAACCCCGGCTATCCCGCGGACGATGCCCTGCTCAGCCGGTTTGAGAACGTGCTCGGCTTCGTGGTCGGCAAGCCCTATACGCCTTCGCTGTCCGTGTTGGCGGCCATCCAACCTGCTCGAGAGGCAGCGCTGCGCAGCATGCGCGCGCACGCGGTGGGTGGTCTTGGCCAACAGAGCGCCGGCTGGAGCCTAGCGCTGCGCGATATCGGCGAATACGGCGATGACTATCTTCGCCGCGCGGCCGTGGCACTCGTGGGCTTTGGCGCCAATCTTCCCAAAGACGCAATATACCCGACCTCTATGGCCGATGATCGCGATCAGCCTCTACGTGGCGACCAGCGCTACCGGCTGCGGTTCGCCGACAACAAGAGCCCGCCCGTGGTCGCGCGCTTCGACGGGTTTTGGTCCGTGTCGCTCTACGACGACATCGGCTTCTTCATCGAGAATCCCGAACAACGATACGTCGTCCACAGCTGGGAGCTGGAGCCCGCCACCGATCGCGACGTCGACATCTACATCGGTTGTGACGATCGCGCGGCCTTCGACGGCGACGGCCTAAGCGGCGACGACTTCTGGTTGCCAGCGGCCACGACGGATCCCATTGTGCTCACGCTGCGGATGTATGCGCCCGGGGACGCAGCGCTGCCACCTGAGGGAGGCGCGGACGACGACTTGCCCGCATGGACGCCGCCGGCCATCGAATGGTTAGGCGCCTGTAGCGCCCTGTAGCGATGTTGCCTCGCCGGTGCCAGTCGACAATCCGGCGGCAGAGACAAAGAGCGACGCGGAGGGGTCCGTCTGCTGCACTGGTTGCGCTGTGGGTGGCAACCCGTTCAAGCCCGGGCATATCTCACAAGCCGAGTATCTGTCTGTCGCAGCCGAGATTGACAGTTGTCTTACATTTACCTTCGAATTTTGTTTGTTTCAGTTGGCAAGCGAGGGAACAGGGTGTTAAATATAATGATCAGCATTTAGAGGTGATGGGTTCTTAATTCTGATGGAGCTGGGCAAATAAAGGAGTAAGCCAATGCAGTTTCTGGTGTGAAAGGATTATGGGTTGAAAGGTGAAGCCGTTACAAGTGCAAGTGTGAAAATTCGGCTGAGCGGAGGGTATGGGAGTTTTGAAGCAGATGTACACAAAGTGTTGCGGTATTTCTGGTAGGAGCCGTTCCTAGATTATGGGTTATTAGAATCGCCTGAAAATGGGTTCAATAATTTTTAGGGGGGCAATAGGGACAGGAAAGAAAAAGGAAGAACTATCGGTCATGAACGGGGAAAGGGACAAGAAAATTTGAACTGATGGCAAGGTTGCTTGAACGTGAGTGGTATACATGACTCGAAGTTGTGAGATTGTTGACAGGTGGTAAATGTGTGCTATGCTGGAAACAACGTATTTTGCGGCGGACTGTGCTTAAAGCATGTTACAACATTACGTAGCCACGAAACTAATGGAAGGGCACTTGTCCCGTCAAGATAAGACAACCTAATAGTTAAATCTGGGAAGGTGTGTCAGCGCCCAGCGTTAAAATAATATCTTATGCGCAACAGATCACTCTGACCGAAGGGAAGGAAAGAAAGAATTGATACTAGGTACTGACAAAAATAGGGAAACAATCAGGTACAGATCATGAGGATGAAACTATGAAGATGTACCGTGATGAGTAGGGTACAAGACTCAAGCGCTCTGGGGGGCTGCCGCTCGACAAAGTTGCCCAACTGACTTGGGCGCCCAGTTTTATAGCCTAATGAGCCCAAACTTTCCTAGTGAGAGAGTATTCTCTCGATTTTGCACTGCACAGTGAATTTCCAAGCGTCCCACTCTTATTTCCAAATGCGGCTGCCCACTCTCCCATCACTTTTCCCATCCACATCACCCACCTATTATGAAACTCACTCCCACATTACTTTTCTAAGTACATATGACCTGTTACACCACACTACATGTTGCCGCTTTCCTTGATTACTTTCACAGCTCTTCCCATTATATTCCAGCTCTACACCATGCCAATTGGCTGTGCACTGCAGCCAATCACAATGTGACGCATGCTCACATGCGTTCTGTGCACTGCCATCTAATCAAACTCATGCCCAACGCCCTCTTTGTGTGATGTAGCCCCATCAACTCTCACCCACCGACTCTGCCATCATAATGGCACGGCACCGGTCCTGCCAGCCCCCGCGCCACAGCATAATGGCGCTATCATAGCAAAATAGCACTTGCTGCACTTTATCACACTATCACATTGCACACCACAACTCGCTGATGTGGTTCACACTTGCGGTTCGCCCCCACAGCTCACTCCAGCGGTTTGCCCCTGTGGCCCCATGCTGCCGAACTATCAAAGAGCTATCAAAGCGTGAGCATAACGTAAGGCTCAAACGTGTGCCATGCCACCACCTTTGGGTGCCGGCACTGGTTGTGGTGGCTTTGGGCGCTGCCCTTAGTAATGCACCAAAAGCTGACGCCATCATAGGGCCGATCCCATGTTGCCTTTAGGCAAATGGCTAGCGCCCTCATTATAGAATACTAGATAAAGTTCAACAACGCATTATGAGGCTCTTCATGTAGTGGGAGGCCATAGAGCCTAAAGTGTTATTATACAAATTTGCATGGAATGTGTTGGGGTCAAGCCCCACACGCGCGTGCACAGAAGGGAGAGACACGCACTGGCAACAATGATGTTACAATCAGAGGAACCATGTACGCTGAACAAATACCTCAATGTCAAAATGATGGTGGGCCCATAATAGTTTCATTAAGGCATGAACAAAACAATCCCAAGAGAGAGAAAGAAATAAAACTACCCCACTCCACTAGAAGCCACACAGCCCGGCAACTAAATGTTGGGTCCCTAGGTTGAATAGTAATAGAATACACAACATCACTCCCCCCCATAAGGGAGCGGCTGCCCTCAGACGCATGACTAAAAGTGGAGAAAGAAGAAAAGAATCAAATACAAATACCCAAGGAAAGTAAACCAAGGCTCCTGGCACCGACATGAGCAAAATGGATTCAACCCGACTGCTGGCGTGACTGCAACCTGTAGACACGGCACGTGAATTTGGCGCGCCGGACACGATTACCCTCCACATTATGTGTCCCAACACCAGTCATACCCATCCCAACAGCACGGCATTGGCTCGGTAAATCCCCGTGAGCACCGTCACTTGGTGTGCATTTCTTCTCTGATCCGTGATTGCTTCCCATCGACAGTAGCAATCCGGCGTAGGTAACCCTCAAGAATGGTTGGAGCATTCTGTAGATGCAATTCAGTCTCCCAACTCGCCTCAGTGATCGGATAACCTTTCCAGAGCACCAGGTAGAGACGCCGGGACTTTGATCCCTTATGTCTCAGAATTGCTTCTACTTCATACTCCTCCTCTCCGTCAACCAAAACGGGCGGAGGTGGCTTCTCCGTCCGTTCGAACTCAGCACTACAATGGTACCGCTTCAAATTAGAAACGTGGAAGACTGAATGGATTCTCCAAGTGGGTGGAAGATCCAACTGGTATGCCACTGGAGAGATAACTTTCACAACTTTGAAAGGCCCAACCCAGCGCCTTCTGAGCTTTGTTGGTAGGTGCTGGTCAACACGCAAATTTCGTGTTGAAAGGACAACCTCAGACCCCTCCTCATAGGCCTCCTGCCGTCGCAATTTGTTGGTTTGCTCCCGTGCTCGGCTTTGTGCGACGACAAGGCTGGTTTGAGCCTCTTCCAGTGAAGTCCTCATTCGTTCTACCATCGTTTGTACAGCTTTAACTCTGGTAGACGCACCCTCACCAAGAATTTGAGTGGGTAAAATTGGGTGCTCACCACTGTTAAGAAAGAATGGCGAGAATCCGGTTGCCACATTAACCGCATTGTTGGCAGCAAATTCTGCCAAGGGCAATTGCTTGGACCAAGCATTTGGATGTCGTTCCATATAAAGCCGCAAGAAGTTCTCCAGTGTCTGGATCATTCTCTCAGATTGACCGTCAGTCTGCAGATGGAACGCAGTACTGAACCTCAAATCGGTTCCCAGCAAGTTAAATAGACTCCTCCAAAATCTGCTGGTGAACCTTGGATCACGATCTGAGATGATCATTTCTGGAAGCCCATGTAGACGAAAGACATGTTCAACAAAAAGCTCGGTATATTCTGGCGCTGTGATCTCCTTTGTGCATGGCGCAAAATGTACCATCTTTGACATTCGGTCAACAAAGACGGCCACGGCTATAAATCCACTCGACTCGGGCAAATCGGTGACTAGATCTGTTGTCACTTGAACCCACTTCTGTGTAGGAATTTCCAAGGGTTGTAGCAGACCTGCCCATGGCCTGTTGTCAGATTTCATCTCCTGACAGACGGAGCACATCTTCACATAGGAGACCACATCTGCTCTCATCTTGCGCCAATGAAATTGCCGATCCACCATTTCCATCATCCTGCGCATGCCCACGTGTCCCACAGATGGTACATCATGGCATTCTCTCAGTATTTGTTGCCGCAAGGATGTTGGTACCACCACTTTCTATTGACCATTCTTCTCCACTGCGATCAATCCAGTTGAGGTCAAAATGTAGTTGCCACGACGACGACCAACCCTTAGATCCCTCAATGCAGATTTCAATACTGGATCTTCTGTATATGCCTAAATCCAGTTTTGGCACTCCCCCTGATCCAGTCGAATAGTCGTTCTAGTCAAGTTTGTCCTGCATTTCAGTGGGTTCCTCTATTCCCCTCTGACTTCTGCTCAAAGCATCGGCAATTATGTTGGCCTTCCCAGGTGTATACTTGATAACAGGGTTGATCGATGGAAACAACCCCAATCTCATCCATCTTGTCTGCACCCGGGTGAGCACCGGCTGATCCATTAGGCGGTTTAACGTTTGGTGGTCCGTAAGAACGGTCACCCCGCTTGGACAGCCCTCCAAATAGTGTCGCCAGCTCTGTAGGCAGAAAGCCATTGTGGCCAGCTTGCGTTCATAAGCCCAATATCTCTGCTCTGTGGGCTTAAACCTTCTGCTTAAGAATGCGACTGGTCGCAGCCCTTCTCCCTGATCCTGCATTAAGCTCCCTCCTCCAGCTGTCCCTGATGCATCGGTGATCACGGTATATGGAAGCTTTGGATCAGGGAAGATCAGAATAGGTGCTCGACAATAGGCTTCCTTTAGTTCCTAGAAGGCACGGCGCTGATATGGGCCCCACTACCATGGTATACCTTTCTTGGTCAGATCGGTCAAGGGGCTTGCAATATCCGCATAATTACGGATGAACCTCCTGTAGTAGTTTGCAAAGCCCAAAAATGATCTGATCTCATGAACGTTGGTAGGAGTGGCCCAATCATGTATTGCCTTCACTTTGGCCTCTGTCACGGTCATACCACCTTTAATGATCCGTTGTCCCAGGAACTCCACTGATTCCATAGCAAATTCACATTTGGACATCTTGGCGAAGAGTCGGTATTTTCGCAATACAGACAGGACTTTCCTCAAGTGCTCAGCATGTTCCTCTATACTAGCAGAATATATCAAAATGTCATCAAGAAATACCAAGACGAAAATGTCAAGGTAATCTCGTAGCAGGTCATTCATCATGCCCATAAACTGAGCTGGGGTATTAGTAACACCAAACGGCATCACCAAAAATTCATATAAGCCCCACCGCGTTTTGAATGCGGTCTTATGAATGTCCCCTACTCGGACCGGTATCTGCCAGTATCCAGATCGTAAGTCAATTTTGCTGAACA